TTAGTTGTGCGAAATTAATACTTTTCACAATTTTATTGGACTGAATGTTTGCATACATATTTAAAATAATAACACTTCTTCATGCTATGAAAAGAAATAGTAAACAAGAATAATAAGAATGAAAAATCTTGTATTTTACATTAGACTTTTTACAAAATGTTCGATTATCCTGACATTCTGGATGATAAATATATCTTATTTCAGCATCACATAAAAGAAAATCTTCTTTCCCAAGTATAATGATGCAAAAATATGATAATTTTTTTCTGAAAAAATATTTAAGGCTGATTTATTATTTTTCGACGTTCATGCTGTTAAAACAGTAGCATAAATCTCGTCGCACTTCTGAAACAAAAGTTATGAGGGGCAGACTTCTATGTAATTTTAACATAGCTGGAAATAGTTCCGTTTCGAAAAAGTAGAAACAAAGTTCTAAAGACAGTAAAAGAAAAAGAAAAAAAGGAAAAAAACCCCAGGCGTTTCTCGAAACAAAAATTGAACAGAATAATAACAATCCAAAAGGTCTTTGGAATAATTCAAAACTCTTAATAGAGCCAATATGTATAATCAACGTCATGTGCTAGATACATTGTATAATAGCGATATTACCTCCGTCATGATCTTTAATTGATGACGTTATTACCTCCATCATAACACTGATTTGATGACGTTATTACCTCCATCATGTCACTGATTTGATGACGTTATTACTTTGCGTCATGTTCTTGATTTTGTGGCCGTATTGCGCCTGTTTTGATCCTTATTAGAAGGCGGTATTGCGCCCTGTATGTCACTGATTTTGTGGCGGTATTGAGCCCGTTATGTCACTGATTTGAAGGCGGTATTGTCTCCGTCATGTCACTGATTAAATGGTGATATAGTTCCCATCATGTCCTTAATAACACGGCGGTACCACCTCCACCATGTCTTAGATTTAATGACGGTATTGCCGCCGTTCTGTCCTGATTTAAGGTCGTAAAGTTTAACGCTACCGTCATTTCCCAAATTGATGGCGACATAATTCTACCGACGTGTCACTGATAGGATGTCGACATAAAACTACCGACGTGTCACTGATATGATTGCGACATAACTCTACCGACGTGTCACTGATAGGATGTCGACATAATTCTACCGACGTGTCACTGATAGGATGTCGACATAACTTTACCGACGTGTCACTGATAGGATGTCGACATAACTCTACCGACGTGTCACAGATAGGATGTCGACATAACTCTACCGATGCGTCACTGATAGGATGTCGACATAAAACTACCGACGTTTCACTGATAGGATGTCGACATAACTCTACTGACGTGTCACTGATAGGATGTCGACATAAAACTACCGGCGTGTCACTGATAGGATGTCGACATAACTTTACTGACGTGTCACTGCTAGGATGTCGACATAACACTACCGACGTGTCACTGTTAGGATGTAGACATAACTCTACCGACGTGTCACTGATAGGATGTCGACATAACTCTACCGATGTGTCACTGATAGGATGTCGACATAAAACTACCGACGTGTCACTGATAGGATGTCGACATAACTCTACCGACGAGTCACAGATAGGATGTCGACATAACACTACCGACGTGTCACTGATAGGATGTCGACATAACACTACCGACGTGTCACTGATAGGATGTCGACATAACACTACCGACGTGTCACTGATAGGATGTCGACATAACACTACCGACGTGTCACTGATAGGATGTCGACATAACACTACCGACGTGTCACTGATAGGATGTCGACATAACACTACCGACGTGTCACTGATAGGATGTCGACATAACACTACCGACGTGTCACTGATAGGATGTCGACATAACACTACCGACGTGTCACTGATAGGATGTCGACATAACACTACCGACGTGTCACTGATAGGATGTCGACATAACACTACCGACGTGTCACTGATAGGATGTCGACATAACACTACCGACGTGTCACTGTTAGGATGTAGACATAACTCTACCGACGTGTCACTGATAGGATGGCGTTATTACTACCATCATGTCATGTCCTTCGTGTGGTCGAGTCCCTGTTTTGACGGGGGTAAACTTCTACCGTCATGTCCCTGATTTGACGGCGGTATACCTCTACCGTCTTGTCCCTGATTTGACGGCGGTATACCTCTACCGTCATGTCCTTGAATTGATGGTGGTATACCTCTACCGTCATTTCCTTGATTTGACGGCGGTATATATCTACTCTAATATCCTTGATTTGACGGCGGTATACCTGTACCGTCTTGTCCTCGATTTGAAGGCGGTATATATCTACCCTAATGTCCCTGATTTGACGGCGGTATACCTCTACCGTCATGTCCCTGATTTTGACGGCGGTATACCTTTACCGTCATATCCCTGATTTAACGGCGGTATCCTTTTCTGTCATGTCCCTGACTTGACGGCGGTATAATGTGACCTCATGTCCCTGTTTGACGGCAGTATAACTCTACCGTCATGCCCCTGATTTTACGGCGGAATATTTCTGCCGCCATGTCCGTGATTTGGCGACTGTCTCCTCTACTGTCATGGCCTGATTTGACGGCGGCACAATTCCGCCGTCATGTCCCTGATTTAACGGCGGTATACTTCTATCGTCATGTCCCTGATTTGACGGTGGTAAAACGTGACCTCATGTCCCTGTTTGACGGCGGTATCCTCTACCGTCATGTCCCTGATTTGAGGAAATTATCCTCGACCGTCATGTCCCTGATTTAACGGCGGTATACTTCTATCGTCATGTCCCTGATTTGACGGTGGTAAAACGTGACCTCATGTCCCTGTTTGACGGCGGTATCCTCGACCATCATACCCCTGATTTGACGCCGGTATACCTCTACCGTCATGGCCCTGATTTGACAACGGTATCCGCTACCGTCATGTCCCTGATTTGACGGAGGTATACTCTCTCGTCATGTCCCTGATTTGACGACGGTATAACTCTGCCGTCATGTCCCTGATTAACGGCGGTATCCTCCATCGTCATGTCCCTGATTTGACGGCGGTATAATTCTGCCGTCATGTCACTGGCTTGACGACGGTGTACCTCTACCATCATGTCCCGGATTTGACGGCGGTATACCTCTACCGGCATGTACCTGACTTGACGGTGGTAATCCTCTACTGCCAAGACCCTGATTTGACGGCGGTATTCTCTACCGTTATGTCCGTGATTTGACGGGGGTAAACCTCTACCGTCAAGTCCCTGTTTTGACGGGGGTAAACATCTACCGTCAAGTCCCTGTTTTGACGGGGGTAAACCACTACCGTCATGTCACTGATTTGACGGCAGTATACTTCTATCGTCATGTCCCCGATTTGACGGCGGTATACTTCTATCGTCATGTCCCTGATTTGACGGCGGTATACTTCTACTTTCATGTCCCTGATTGACGGCGGAATAGCTCTACCGTCATGTACCTGATTTAACGGCGGTATACCTCTACTGTCATGTCCCTTATTTGTATCCTCTAACGTCAAGTCCTTGCTTTGACGATGGTATATCTCTACAGCCATGTCCCTGATTGACGGCGGAATAGCTCTACCGTCATGTCCCTGATTTAACGGCGGTATACCTCTACTGTCATGTCCCTTATTTGTATCCTCTACCGTCAAGTCCCTGATTTGACGACGGTATAACGTTACCGTCATGTCCCTGTTTTGACGACGGTATTATTCTCCCGTCTTTCCCGGATTTGATGACGGTATGCTTCTACCGTCATGTCCCTGATTCGACGGCGGTTTACTTCTACCGTCATGTCCCTGATTTGACGTCGGTATAACGTGACCTCATGTCCCTTATTTTACGACGGTATACATCTACCGTCATGTTCCTGATTTGACGGCGGTTTTCATAATTGTGTCTCTGATTTGTTAATGGTATTGCCTGCTCAAACCACGTTTTCGTAATTTGATTTGAGCTTTTTTGCACTCGTGATCATAAAATGTCTCTGATCTGATGGCGGTATTTGACATCTTTCACCTTTCCCCCCTTCTAGTCCTAATATAAATACCCGGCCTCCTCTGCCCCGGCCGGGTATTCAATCGACCCCATGCCTTGTAGTGGAGCAAGCCCGGTGTGAATCACACTGGGGCGATTTTAGAATTAATTGACAGCATATTGGTCCGCATCCGTAAATATGGCTGTAGAATGAACTATTTCTGTTGATATCCTGCACAACTAGAAGTTAAACTCTGTATAAAATGTCGTTAAATTATCAAGTTAACGTAGCAAGCGTAATCGAAATCTGAATTGACCGCCATGTTGGAAAGTTTGTCTCTCTTCTGATATAGGTCAGACGTCTAAATATGGGTGTCATGACCCAATATGGAAATTGTGGTTAACATCAGTAGTAATACTATATTTGACCATGCATGCCATATATAGAAAGGATCATTGAGATAACATCACGCGTGATCTGTCATGGCGGTAATTTCTATTGTTCACTAATTTGGTTAATTTCGTGAAAGAGTTTTATTTTTTTATTGGAAAGGATGATGCGTGATTTATATGTAATCTCACAGGTTAGCACTTTTGATTTTGCTCCATTAGTTGGCATACGACCGCTTCGTAGCTCTGACGACGCAATGTATTAAAAAAAATCTCGTCGTAAGAAAGCTACGTTATCGCAGCTAGTCCCTTTCGTGTTCATTAAACGACGACGACGACACTGCCAACGTTGTGTTTTGTCTCTGATTTGATGGCGATGAATCCTCTCCCTGTCTGCGATGCTTGATTTGGCGAGTAACCTACACACTGTTAGTGTAGGACCGAAGTCGTCTCCCCATCAATAGCGGCCGCCCGGTCTCAATAGAAGTCTCCACTGTCGCCACACAAATGTACAACGGTCTATATCGATCTGCCATAATGGAGACAAGCAATAATAAATAGTTATCCACTGTCATGGAGACCGTTTATACGCGCATGCGTGTCAGTTTGTTAAGCGTTACATATTAACAAGGGTCAATGGTACATATTGGTGGCGCGTCATTGATCGTGTGATTGGTTTTGAGGCTGTTCGAGTATTTTGTGTGCCCGCCATACCCGAGGTGTCGACAGTATTAGGCAGCCAAGCAAACGTTTCATTGCTGATCGATCGATGCCTATTTGATGTTCCTTCATAGATCAACAGACATTCATTTCATTTGTTGGTAGTTAGATCGGAAGCAGAGTGTTGACAGCGCTGAAACCATTTTACCCTGGATGTACGACCTACCGTGTGCTTTACGATGTTCGGTGGACATGTCTCTGTGTGTCCCGATGTAGGTTTATAGGATGACACCCAGGAATAATGTCTCTGTTTACTAGTGTTATATAAAATGACAGCCACCTGTGAGACATGACATCGCCCCTTATCATTCTGGTGGCTAGCGCGGTCATCACTGGCGCGTTTGGTAGCCTGTTCATCCTGCTGGCCATCGCCGTGGACACATGGCAAGAAGTGTACTACGACACGTCCGTCTTTTCCCCCTATACAACCAGTAATAGTAGCTCCATCCAGATCACTCTCGCCTCATCTTCTACGTCGTTCATTACATTCAAGGAGGAGCAATCGGATGGTAGCTGGATTACCTATTACCTGTATAACACCTACAGTGGAGTCTGGCGGGTATGTGACACGCTCTCAGGTGAGATTTCAACCGCAAATACAGGTGTGATACCGTCCCAGGTGAGATATCAACCACACATACAGGTGTGATACCGTTTCAGGTTAGATATCAACCACACATACAGGTGTGTTACCGTCTCAGGTTAGATATCAACCACACATACAGGTGTGATACCGTCTCAGGTTAGATATCGACCACACATGAAGGTGTGTTACCGTCTCAGGTTAGATATCAACCACACATACAGGTGTGATACCGTCTCAGGTTAGATATCAACCACACATACAGGTGTGGCACCGTTTCAGGTTAGATATCAACCAGACATATAGGTGTGCTACCGTCTCAGGTTAGATATCAACCACACGTACAGGTGTGATACCGTCTCAGGTTAGATATCAACCACACATACAGGTGTGATACCATCTCAGGTTAGATATCGACCACACATACTGGGGTGTTACCGTCTCAGGTTATATATCAACACCACATACAGGTGTGATACCGTCTCAGGTTAGAAAACAACCACACATACAGGTGTGACACCGTCTCAGGTTAGATATCGACCACACATACAGGTGTGTTACCGTCTCAGGTTAGATATCGACCTCACATACAGGTGTGATACCGTCTCTGGTGAGATATGTATCACACACACAGATGAGACACCAAGTCTCGAGTGAGACACACTCCTAAGGAATAATTATATATATGAGTGTAACACCTGTTGGGTTATATATATATATATATATTAATGTATATATGACATACAGGTAATACCTACAGGAATGACCCTATATCGAATCAGATATTTATTTACTGCACATATGGTTGTGATATCTCTCAGGTAAAAGCCAAGTACCACATGTACAGTTGTGATGCATCTCAGGCGAGACATACATACCACACATACAGGTGTATATAAGTAACACACATACACATATAAACCCCTCCAACCTAAGTTATACATGTGGTCTCATACAGGTGTAACACATCTACGTTGATTTATACATATTACATACATGTATAACGATGGTCAGATAAGATTTATATATATCACAGCTCGCACGGGTCATATTTATACCATACATACACGGGTGACACTTTCTCACGTGAGATAAACATAGATACAAATGGGACATCTCATCTGAGACACATTCTCATATTATTTATATAGAACACACATACATGTGTGACATCTCTCAGGTAAGATACTTATAGTACATAACATACGACAGATACTGATGTATCACCTGTAAAGTAAAGATATATACCACACATACAGGTGGGTCATATCTCAGGTAAGATACTTATAGTACATAACATACGACATGTACTTGTGTATCACCTGTTAAGTAAAGATATATATCATACATATAGGTGTGACATATCTCAGGTAAGATACTTATATAACATAACATACGACAGATACTGGTGTATCACGTGTAAAGTAAAGTTATATACCACACATACAGGTGTGACATCTCTCAGGTGAGATACTTATGGTACATAACATACGACAGATACTGATGTATCACCTGTAAAGTAAAGATATATACCATACATACAGGTGTGACATATCTTAGGTAAGATACCTATATTACATAACATACGACATATACTGGTGTATCACCTGTAAAGTAAATATATATACCACACTTACATTTATGACATATCTCAGGTAAGATACTTATATTACATAACATACGACATATACTGGTGTATCACCTGTAAAGTAAATATATATACCACACATACAGGTGTGACATCTCTCAGGTGAGATACTTATAGTACATAACATACGACAGATACTGATGTATCACCTGTAAAGTAAAGATATATACCATGCATACAGGTGTGACATCTCTCAGGTAAGATACCTATATTACATAACATACGACAGATACTGGTGTATCACATGTAAAGTTAAATAAATATACCACACTTACATTTATGACATATCTCAGGTAAGATACTTATATTACATAACATACGACATGTACTTGTGTATCACCTGTTAAGTAAAGATATATATCATACATATAGGTGTGACATATCTCAGGTAAGATACTCATAGTACATAACATACGACAGATACTGGTGTATCACCTGTAAAGTAAAGTTATATACTATACATACAGGTGTGACATATCTCAGGTAAGATACTTATGGTACATAACATACGACAGATACTGGTGTATCACCTGTAAAGTAAAGATATATACCACACATACAGGTGTGACATATCTCAGGTAAGATACTTATAGTACATAACATACGACATATACTGGTGTATCACCTGTAAAGTAAAGATATATATCATACATATAGGTGTGACATATCTCAGGTAAGATACTTATATTACATAACATACGACATATACTGGTGAAACACCTGTAAAGTAAAGATATATACCATACATACAGGTGTGACATATCTCAGGTAAGATACTTATATTACATAACATACGACAGATACTGATGTATCACCTGTAAAGTAAAAAATATATACCACACATACAGGTGTGACATCTCTCAGGTAAGATGATTATAGTACATAACATACGACATTTACTGGTGTATCACCTATAAAGTAAAGATATATATATCATACATACAGGTGTGACATCTCTCAGGTAAGATACTTATAGTACATAACATACGACAGATACTGGTGTATCACCTGTAAAGTAAAATATATACACCACACAGAAAGGTGTGACATATCTCAGGTAAGATACTTATAGTACATAACATACGACAGATACTGGTGTATCACCTGTAAAGTAAAATAAATATACCACACTTACAGGTGTGACATATCTCAGGTAAGATACTTATAGTACATAACATACGACAGATACTGATGTATCACCTGTAAAGTAAAGATATATACAACACATACAGGTGTGACATCTCTCAGGTGAGATACTTATGGTACATAACATACGACAGATACTGGTGTATCACCTGTAAAGTAAAATATATACACCACACAGAAAGGTGTGACATATCTCAGGGAAGATACTTATAGTACATAACATACGACAGATACTGGTGTATCACCTGTAAAGTAGAATATATACACCACACAGAAAGGTGTGACATATCTCAGGGAAGATACTTATAGTACATAACATACGACATATACTTGTGAAACACCTGTAGAGTAAATATTTATACCACACATACACAACTATCATGCTACACATGTTTACCACACATACACAGCTATCATGCTACACATGTATACCAAACACACACAGCTATCATGCTACACATGTATCCCACACACACACAGCTATCATGATACACATGTATACCACACATACACAACTATCATACTACACATGTATACCACACACACACAGCTATCCTGCTACCCATGTATACCACACATACACAACTATCATGCTACACATGTTTACCACACATACACAGCTATCATGCTACACATGTATACCACACACACAAAGCTATCATGCTACACATGTATACCACACCCACACAGCTATCATGCTACACATGTATACCTCACACACACAGCTATCATGCTACACATGTATACCACACACACATAGCTTTCATGCTACACATGTATACCACACGCATACAGCTATCATGCTACACATGTATACCACACACACACAGCTTTCATGCTACACATGTTTACCACACACACACACCTATCATGCTCCACATGTATACCCCACACACACAGCTATAATGCTACAAATGTATACCACACATCCACAACTTTGATACCATATATAAATACCACACACACAGCTATGATGCTACACATGTATAACACACATACACAACTATCAGGCTACACATGTTTACCACACATCCACAGCTATCATGCTACGGATGTATACCACACACATACAGCTATCATGCTAAACATGTATACCACACACACGCAGCTATCATGCTACCCATGTATACCACACATCCACAGCTATCATGCTACACATGTATACCACACATACACAACTTTGATACCATATATATATACCACACACACAGAGGTGTGATAGCTGAATGTCATATTTATAACACATAATTTATAAAGGTGTGATACCAAACACATTCGTATAAATGTAACACACATACAGATACTACCCCTCTCGGGAGAGTTATATATAGGTATTGATGTTTTAGTAAAAAACAAAAGAATACTTTTATATCTTTTCATGTTAATGATTTTTGTATTAGTTAGTATGACACGGATTCGGGCTTTAATTGAGATTTTAGAAATACCAGAAATGTACAATAGAGTGGTTATGCTACTACAGTATGACCATGACTGTGGTACAATGGGTTGGTACCGTGACTGTGGTACAATGGAGTGGTACCGTGACTGTGGTACAATAAAGTGGTACAGTTAATGTGGTATGATGGAGTGGTAACGTGACTTTGGTACAATGGGTTGGTACCGTGACTGTGGTACAATGGGTTGGTACCGTGATTGCCGTACAATAGGGTGTTCACGAGACTGTTGTACAATGGGTTGGTACCGTGACTGTGGTACAATGGAGTGGTACCGTGACTGTGGTACAATTAAGTGGTACAGTTAATGTGGTATGATGGAGTGGTAACGTGACTGTGGTACAATGGGTTGGTACCGTGACTGTGGTACAATGGGTTGGTACCGTGACTGTGGTACAATGGGTTGGTACCGTGACTGTGGTACAATAAAGTGGTACAGTTACTGTGGTATGATGGAATGGTTACATGACGTGACTGTTGTACATTGAATGGAGTGGTACCGTGACTAAGATACAATAAAGAGGTACCGTGATTGCGATACAATGGAGTGGTTCCGTGACTATGGTACAATAAAGAGGTACCGTAACTTTGGTGTAATGGAGTGGTACCGAAACTGTGGTATAATGGAGTGGTTAAGTGGTACAATGGAGTGGTAACGTGACTGCGATAGAATGATGTGGGACCGTGACTGTAGTATAATAAAGTGGTACCGTGACTGTGGTACAATGAGGTGGAACCGTGACTTTT